TTCCTGAACCCGTCCGAAGGCACGGATCCCCTCTGGTATCTCCTGCAGCTGCCACTGTAGGCTCTGTAGCAGCGTGCCCAGGGAGTTCACCGTGGTTAGGGCGGCTCCGCCCTCTCGGAAACCCGGGCTCTCCTGCAGGATGTTGACCGCACGCCGGGCTGATGCCGCCGCCGACCGCGCTGCCTCGGCAGCTGACTGCGGTGGGTCCTGGCCCGCTGCCGTCCCCCGGCCTCGGGGGATCCACACCAACCGTGTCTGGCACCGGGTGCACCTCGAGCCTGACCCGTGCTGGTTCCCGTAGTATCGGATGCACGACTCTGGATGCTCGCACTCGTTGACTGGTCCGGGAGGCGGCTTCGCTGGGACCGACGGCTCGGGAGTCGATGCCAGCTGCGTAGGTGGCGGCTTGGGCGGTGGCTTGCTTGCCGCGGGCCCCGTCAGGGGAGGCGGCGCCGTAGTGCCCCGCATGTGCATCGTTCCTGGAGGAGGAGGCTTCACCGGTGGCGGGGTCGATGCCACTGGAGTGTTGATTGCTGCCTGCTGAACTGCTGGAGGCGCGGCTGCTGCCGCCGCTGCCGCTGCCGCCTGGGAGTTGAACGAGCGATCGACCACCATGGGATATGGGCCAGTGTATCCTGGAGGTGGCTCCGGAGGCAGGGGCGGCTGAGGCCCTGGCTGGCCCGCTGCCTGACCACTCCCTGAGGACGAGGCGCCTCCAGTGGGTGGCCCGCGGTCTGCCTGATCCGCCTCTGCCTGGGCCTGCGCCTGCCTCGCCGCCGCCTCCAGAGCGTCGCTCTCGGCCGCCGCGGCGGCCATCTCCTCCGCCGAGGGCTCGCCCCAAACGTAGCCGTCTGAGTCGGGTTCTCCAGGAGCCCTCTCCCCGTTGAGGCGGGACTGGCGTGCTCGTAGAAACGCCTGAGTGGCGTCCCATGCTCCCTGGTTTCCCTTGCTCGACGTCCCGTATTCTCCCTTCTTCTTTCCTCCGAGCACGGGATGCACAGCCAACCGCGCCAGGAGCAGCCCTCCGAGGACCATCGAGTCTGAACAGGCGCTGTTGCTGGACCGCAAGAAACTCGTGAACTGAGAAAGCTAACACCAGCAAGGCTAGACTTGAGCCGAGGTGGACTACGGAGAAGACAACTGCCGCCACTGTTACCACGGAGACAGTCAGTTCAGTCCGTCCTCTTGGGCTCTCGGGAACCCTTCCTCTCGAAGACCTCCTCGGCCTCTGCACCTTAGCTTGACTACCGGATCCTAAGACCTGACTCGGGCCCTGCTGAGCCCACGACTGGAGGAGCTCCCTCGATTGGTCGTCCTGGTGCTCCGATTGGACGTTGACCCGATTCCTGGAGTGGGCGATCGAACTGGTGCTCTGAGTCCTGGGCCTGGATGTTCTCCGAGTCCTGGTCCTGGCCCTTGAGCTCCCCCTCGTGATCCGCAGCAGCAGCATGAGCAGCAAGACGATGGCGATGAGGATAGGGATGTAGCCAGTCACCACCCCAGTGTCCGACATCTCTGGGAACTGTCCTGCAGCAGTCTGAAACGAGTCAGCACGCAAAAAAGGATACCTCTTGATCGCGGCTGCTGGTGCCACTGCCTCTTGGTCGAGAGGCCCCACGATCTCCACGAGGCGATGGCCTGAACTGAGACGGTAAAGGGGCGCCTTCTGACTGAGGCGCCCAAGTTGCATGCTGTTCCTGGGCAAATCAATGACGGCCTCGAGAAACTCCAGAAGATTCACGCTGAGAATATGCGGAACGTTGTCCGCCAGCACTGTAGTCTCTATGATGCCGAACGTCTGACCTAGGCACAACGGAAAGAGAATAACGTTGATCACGCGCGCGGCTCCACCGACGCCGTGTGCCGCCTTGAGCGGGCGGTCGCCCTGAGGTATCTCGACGTACCTCAACCCAAGCTCCGCCAGGGCTCGAGACTCTCGGTTGAGTGCTCCGACTCCCACGAGGTCACTGCCGGCACCTGGGTCGACGAGCCCCTGGGTGGCGGACGTGGTGAGGAGAACCGCGCTCGACTCGATCTCCAGCTGCGCCTGCTCCCAGGCTGGGAGGCTGCCCGTGCCCGTCTCTACCGTCGCCACGAACTCGGAGCCGCCGACCTCGCCGACGATGCCCGAGAACATGCACGCGGATGCTCCTCGGCCGTGATCCTTCACAGCTCGGCGATCCCTGGGTCCATCCTTCTCCGGGCACTCCCGACGCCAGTGGCCCTTCTGCTTGCAGATGCCGCAGCGGGTCACCTTGATCAGCTGCTCCTTCGTGAGGCGCCGCCGATCGAACCCACGACCACCTCGACCGCGTCCGCCTCGGCCGCCAGCGCCGTCCCCACGGCCTCCGCCGCGTCCTGGACGACCTGCTGGATGTGCCCGAGGAGGCCTGGGCGCCCGGGAGTCGGGCCGAAAGTACTCCCTGTCCTGACGAGCAGCACGCTTCAGCTCCTTGTTCTGCTTCCAGGTCCTGGTGTTCTTGGCCTCGAGCGTCGCAAGCACCTCGTCCACCTGATCTTCGGACACGTCGAGATCGTCGAGCTCGGCCAGCAGAGCCTCGATGTCTTCCTCGTCCGAGGCCTCCTCCTCATCGTCATCATCGTAGAAGGTCTCCTCGTCCTCTGCCGGGAAGTCGCCGGCACCCTCTGACCGAACCTGCGACCACGGGGGAGGAGGAGAGAGGAGGGGAGACTGAACACCAGGCGACGTCTCGCTAGCGCCTAGGCCCTCAGAAGCCGTCGTGTCGGCCAGCATTGCCCCTTCGCCTCGCCCTGGAAGCAGGCGCTCGGTGCCGCCGGAGTCCATCTGCTTGAGCGCCCACGAGACGCTCTCGTAGTCCAGCTTCCCGAGGGTGAGCGTCCTCAGATTCTGGAGGCCCTGGGCGGACAGGCAAGCGCCTTCCTCCAGGAGCAGGCCCTTCAGCTTGGGCGACATCCATAGATCGTGTCCTTCCGCCTCTTGCAGTTGAGCATCGCGGCGGATGACAAACTGGATCAGCGACTCCTTCGCCTCGCGGTTGGCCTCGAAGAAGGCTCGACGACCCGCGCGGCGAAGGTCATCTCCTTCACGCTCGCCCGCCATGGTGTCCATGCGGCCGAGCATAGTGTCGATCCACCCGTCGTCGGTCAGACGATGCTCCTGTATGTCCTCGAACTTGGCCTGGAAGGCCCAGTCGAACAGACGAAGGAACTTCTCGGAGCGACGCCAGACGGGTACGTCGGTGTTCGCATTCCAACGTCTGAGCGACTTCTTCCATGCTCTGAAATGCGCCCATCCCGGCCACGCCGGTGGGTCTGAGTAGTCTCCCTTGGACCAGGCGCCGCCTCCTCCTGCCCAGCTGCCGGACCAGGCGGCCAGCTCGGGTCGGGACCCGGTCCCGCGGGTCCAGGCGGTGTCGTGAGACCAGCCTGAGTCCTTCTGCCAGCTGTCCTTCAGATCGGGCTGCCGATCCTCCCAGCCGGTCCTCGAGTCGGCCTGCCATCACCGACACTGCCAACTCTCTCCGCCACTGGCCGTCCACGGATCTGAGCCCTGCCACGGATCTTCGCTCTTCTCGTCGGGCTTGCTCTTCTCATCCGGCTTGCCAGTGGCCACGGAGCTGGACGCTGCTGCAGCACTCGAGCTCCTGGACTGCTCCTGCATCGCCGCCCTGACGATGTCCCCGATGAGTCCTCTGAGCTCGCCCCTAGTGACGGCAGCCTCGTCCGTCCCCGCACTCACGTGTAGGTTGGCCCCCTTCTCTGCATCTTCATCCTCGACGCCCGTCATGGCGTCCACCGTGGATCTCCACGCGTCGCAGTCGGCCGAGCGCAGCGACCGCTCGGGAGCACGCGAACGCCGGCCGGTCATGCCCCTCGGGCGCGGACCTGGCTCGCGCCCATGGCACCCCGAGCGACTCCGCGCTCCGCTACCAACTGTGGCAGCACAGGATTGGATGAACGTTTTTGGGCTTGAGCCAAAGAGGGTAACAGTACACCGAGCACACACTGCAACTCGGTAGGACGATCAGGGTAATGATCTCAAATGCTAAACCTAATACGTAAAATCTGGAGATCAGTCACACTCCTCCTCCTCCTCCTCCTCCTCCTCCTCCTCCTCCTCCTCCTCCTCCTCTTCCTCCCCCCCCTCCTCCTCCCCCTGCTCATCCCTCCTCATCCCTCCTCCTCCTCCTCCTCCTCCTCCTCCTCCTCCTCCTCCCCATCCTCCTTCCCCGTCCCCGTCCCCTCCTCCTCCTCCTCCTCCTCCTCCTCCTCCTCCTCCTCCTCCTCCTCCTCCTCCTCCCCTCCACCACCTTCACCTCCACCTCTACCTCTACCTCCACCTCCACCACCCCCTCCAACTCCTCCTCCTCGTACTCCTCCCCCTCTCCTCGTAGTCCGCTTCCTCGTGCCCCTGCTGCTGCTCTTCCCACTCCTCCGTCCTCCGTCCTCCGTCCTCCGTCCTCCTCCTCCTCCTCCTCCTCGTCCCCTCCCACTCCTCCTCCTCCTCCTCCTCCTCCTCCTCCTCCTCCTCCTCCGCCCCCTGCTCGCCATAGCCATGTTGACTCAAGGCTAAACGTGTGAAGGTAAAGTGACATACCGAATCACAATTAGCTTTGGGTGCCTCCGTTGGCATGTCCCCAGCTATTTGTGTAACCACGTCCAGGCTTTGCGCTGGACCGTGGTCTTTTCGCGCGAGCTCCTGCTGGAGCAACCGTTCCCCAGCCAGATGGCTTGGCGAGCCCGCGCCCCATGGAACCAAGGGCGAGGTGCACGCCAGGCGCAGCAGACGTATGGATATGGATATCGTGGTGATGGTGGTCGTCGCAGCGGTGCCCGCGGCGGCTCATACTCGGTGCGTTCAGTGCGCAACCGCTGGGATTTCGACAAGTACGGCAATGCCTGCTGCAGTGTCTGCGGCGGCAGCTACCTCAACCACAATGACGCCAAGGTGTCTAGTACTACGACTACACAGCTTGCCAACGACCTCGCGGAAATGACCAAAAAGTATCCTCAGATGGATGGTCTGCTCGGGCAGGTCGGCCAACGGGCCGCAGTGGAGTCTGTCGCACCACCTCCGTCCAGTGACAATTTTGGAGAAGCAGGTCGAGGCCAAGCGCACCGAACTGGCCAAGGACGTGGAGGTCCAGTCTCGAGCTGAGAGGATCGCCCAGACGGAGGTGCAGTCCAGGCACGCTGCTGCCATTCGTCACCGCGAAGCGTTGACCTAGGCTGAAGCTAAGCATGCGCAAGCGGTGCAGTATCTCCAGGAGAAGCAGGTCGCCCTCCGCGCGGCCAATGCTGAGAAGGGGGCGTTCGTGGCGGACGACGACCGACGTCATCTACGCGAGAAGGAAGATCGCGCGCGCGCTGAAGCACAGCGTGCATTTCAAGCCCAACAAAAAGCTGCAGCAGTGGCCGCAGCTGGAGTTCAAGTTCAGGACGTTCCACATGGTGGCCTTGCTGGTGTGCTGCCTGGTCAAGTTCCTCCTGCAGGTGGTGCTGGTGTTCCTCAGGCTGCATCAGGCCCAGTGGCAGGTATCGGCGGTTCAGGCGGGCATGCTGGCGTTGGTCACGGTGGCAACGGCACAGGCGCCGCACCGCCGCCCAACCTTGGAGGGCTCAGCGATGAGGCACTCCAGGCATGGTGCAGCGCCCACAATCAGAGGTACGATTTTTGGAACGAGATGCGGCGTATGGAGAAGGCCATCCAGTTTGGAGTACCTGATTCTGATCTGGCTAGGGAGTGGGGTGACGATCATGTCGCAGAGTTGGAGGGCCTCAAGAAGCGATCATTGGAATCAGCACTCTCTGAGTCAGATCGGGATCGATTGGACGCACTACTCGTACGTAAAGCCTCAGAGAAGGCTCACAAACGACTCAAGATTATTCGTGAGGATACCGCCGCCATCTTTGGGCGCGTTCTGGGACAGATTGCACCGCGTGCAGGAACCCCAGTGGCGCAGGCGCCCCCAGCAGGCGGCGGACGCGTACTCCCTGCAGCTGGCGCCGAAGGCGCTGGAGCTCCTGAGCAGCAGTCGCGTTTTTAACAGGCACACGGGCGGCAGCGGAGCTGCTCGCAATATCGATTTTCACCTAACAGCGAAAACTGATAGGTTTCTAGTGGTCTCAAAAGAGAGCATCATGACTCCCCAGGGGGGTCTGGGCACATGCTGGACGGGTGCCGCTGAAATCCGGGGACTCCCGCGGGAATCTGGGGACTCTTTTTTATCAAACAGTAACGCACTTCGTGGTCTTCGAGTTCCCAGAACTCCATTCCTGGGCATGATTTTGAATGCCCGGAGCCAACTGTAGGCCACTTCGTGGTCTTCGAGTTCCCAGAACTCCATTCCTGGGCATGATTTTGAATGCCCGGAGCCAACTGTAGGCCACTTCGTGGTCTTCGAGATCCCAGAACTCCATTCCTGGGCATGATTTTGAATGCCTGGAGCCAACTGTAAGCCACTTCGTGGACTTCGATTCCGAGAACTCCATTCCTGGGCATGATTTTGAATGCCCGGAGCCAACTGTAGGCTACTTCGTGTTCTTCGAGTTCCCAGAATTCTACTCCCGGGCCACATTTTGAATGCTGATGCAGGCTGGGGCTGAGGCTGATGCAGGCTGAGGCTGAGGCCGAGGCTGAAGGCAGGCTGAGGCTGAGGCTGAAGCAGGCTGAGGCTGAGGCTAAGGCAGGCTGAGGGTGAGGCTGAGGCAGGCTGATGCTGAGGCAGGCTGAGGCTGAGGCTGAGGCCGATGCAGGCTGAGGCTGAGGCAGGCTGAGGCTAGGGCCAAGGCTGAAGGCAGACTGAGACTGAGGCGGAAGCAGGCTGATGCTGAGGCAGGCTGAGGCTGAGGCTGAGGCTGATGCAGGCTGATGCTGAGGCAGACTGAGGCTGAGGCCGAGGCTGATGCAGGCTGATGCTGAGGCAGACTGAGGCTGAGGCTGAGGCTGATGCAGGCTGAGGCTGAGGCCGAGGCTGAAGGCAGACTGAGGATGAGGCTGAAGCAGGCTGAGGCTGAGGCTGCGGCAGGCCGAGGCAGGCTGAGGCAGACGCTGAGGCAGGCTGATGCTGAGGCTGAGGCTGAGGCTTATGCAGGCTGAGGCTGAGGCAGGCTGAGGCTGAGGCTGAGGCGAGGCTGAGGGCTGAGGCTGAGGCAGGCTGAGGCTGAGGCTGAGGCTGAGGCTGAGGCTGAAGCAGGCTGAGGCTGAGGCTGAGGCAGGCTGAGGCTGAGGCTGAGGCAGGCTGATGCTGAGGCAGGCTGAGGCTGAGGCTGAGGCTGATGCAGGCTGAGGCTGAGGCAGGCTGAGGCTGAGGCCGAGGCTGAAGGCAGACTGAGGCTGAGGCTGAAGCAGGCTGAGGCTGAGGCTGAGGCAGGCTGAGGCTGAGGCTGAGGCAGGCTGAGGCTGAGGCTGAGGCTGAGGCAGGCTGAGGCTGAGGCAGGCTGAGGCTGAGGCCGAGGCTGAGGCAGACTGAGGCTGAGGCTGAAGCAGGCTGAGGCTGAGGCTGAGGCAGGCTGAGGCTGAGGCTGAGGCTGAGGCTGAGGCTGAGGCTGAGGCTGAGGCTGGCAGGCTGAGGCTGAGGCTGAGGCAGCTGAGGCTGAGGCTGAGGCTGAGGCAGGCTGAGGCTGAGGCTGAGGCTGAGGCTGAGGCTGAGGCTGAGGCTGAGGCTGAGGCTGAGGCTGAGGCTGAGGCAGGCTGATGCTGAGGCAGGCTGAGGCTGAGGCTGAGGCTGAGGCAGGCTGAGGCTGAGGCTGCGGCAGGCTGATGCTGAGGCAGGCTGAGGCTGAGGCCGAGGCAGGCTGAGGCTGAGGCTGAGGCAGGCTGAGGCTGCGGCTGAGGCAGGCTGATGCTGAGGCAGGCCGAGGCTGAGGCTGAGGCAGTCTGAGGCTGAGGCAGGCTGAGGCTGAGGCTGAGGCTGAGGCTGAGGCTGAGGCTGAGGCTGAGGCTGAGGCTGAGGCTGAGGCAGACGCTGATGCAGGCTGAGGCTGAGGCAGGCTGAGGCTGAGGCTGAGACTGAGGCAGGCTGAGGCTGAGGCAGGCTGAGGCTGAGGCCGATGCTGAAGGCAGACTGATACTGAGGCTGAGGCTGAAGGCAGACTGAGGCTGAGGCTGAAGCAGGCTGAGGCTGAGGCTGATGCAGGCTGAGGCTGAGGCTGAGGCAGGCTGAGGCTGAGGCAGACAGAGACTGAGGCTGAGGCTGAGGCTGCTGCAGGCTGAGGCTGAGGCAGGCTGAGGCTGAGGCCGAGGCTGAAGGCAAACTGAGGCCGAGGCTGAAGCAGGCTGAGGCTGAGGCTGAGGCAGGCTGAGGCTGAGGCAGGCTGATGCTGAGGCAGGCCGAGGCTGAGGCTGAGGCTGTGACTGCCGTTGCTACTGCGACTGTCATCGCGAATGCGACTGCGAGAATGCTTCCAGGTATGCTTCTACACATCGCTGTTAGGTTGTTTTGCCAGGATAATTTGTTCTGCAACATCACTTCGTGGAACGATGTTGCGCTGTCCTTTGCTCAGAATGCGAAGCCTGAGTGTGACGGGTTCTTCTTTGCAGAGCACCAACTTGTTGGAGACAAGGCACGTCTGGCCAAGCGAAAGGCCAGGCATATGAAGTGGAATCCCCATTTCCTGGATGCTACCCCCACCCCAGGGGGCGGCTCTCACGGCGGCGTTGGGGCGTTAACTTCCCGAGGCTTGAGCCTTCGGAGATGTTTGCTTTCTGTTGGGTCTGTGAAGGATCTTGGCTCTGGCAACCACTGGCTTTTCCTGGAATTTAAGACGAAACGCGCCGTGATAGCCGTCGGAGTAATTTATTTGGTGCCGGGCCTGTGTGTCTGTGAAGAGAATGTTGGACGTCCCCGTGAAATTTCTGAATTCTTGGGAACTCTGGCTATACCGTGGGTCCTCATGGGAGACTACAACACATACCTGCTGTAGATCTGGATCTCTCAGGATTCCCCAGGTTGGCCAGGGATAGAGTTCTGACACCGCAGGGCGTCGAGTTCACCTGCACCCAGGGACGTGGGTCCCTTATTGATTTCGTCGTCGCATCGGATGGCATTGCTAGCTATGTGGCTGTTACCAAAATAGCTCCTCCCCGTTCAAGACCCACGCGTGCCTGAAGGTTTCAGTGGACCATGAAGCAATGGAGCAGCAACTTTGGCGGCGCGTTAAACCCCTTCCCTTTCCTGATTGCCCAGGTCCTGATCTTCCGCGGGAAGTCTTATTGAAGCAGAATGTGGATGAAGGGGGCAGGGGACCCCCCCTCCCTTTCCTTACTGAGCATCTCCAACCTCATGTGCAGGACCACCTCTCACCGCAGTTGACGGAACAGTATTTGCTTTGGAGTGGGACGACGGAGCGAATGTTTTTTATCCAGAGCCTGTGCTGTAGAGATGAAGCCTCGAGTTTGCAGCGAACGAGGAGGCTATCCGCATTTTAAGCTCTCCAAAATTGGCAGGAGAGGCTTTTGTGGCCAGAATTTCCAACAACCATCGTTATGTTTCTGGGCTCACGTCTTTCCATCTCTGTGGGAATACCGTTTATACCTGGCCAAGAAATCCTGGACCAAGGTCTCTTGGGGCCCCCAGCTGTTGGGCAGTCTTGCTGGGCAGGTCAATCTACACTGGCTCCCTGGGGGCCCTCGACAGCCGAATGGTGGATCGAATGGAGCAGCTGTTGGCCAATGTTTCCAGAGATGCTACTGCACTTAATGAGCTCACTGATGCCTGCGCTGCGGCAGTTACCAAGGCCTGGACCGCAGCACGAGCTGCGTCCAATGACGGCATGAAGAAGTGGCTGTTGAAGGCCCTACCGCGTGGAGCTAAACGAGTACACTCCTGGCTTAAGTTTGACCAAGGAGCTGATCTCGAGTATCTGGTTACCCCCGACGAGGTTAAGCAGCTCCCGCAGGACCTAATGGCATATCGACAAAAGTTCTGGGGCGGATGTTGGACTGCCCCCCCTATCAAGCGTGAGGCTCTCTCTGGGGTCCTGGATGTCCAGAGACCTGTCGCGCTGAGTGCGGCGCAGGGGTAAGATCCCCTCGACCCTAGAGATATCGTGGGGGCCTCTCAAGTGTTCCGGACTGGAACGGCGGTCGGAGTGGATTGTCGGGCTCCTCGGTTGTTGGGCTCTTTGCCTCGTGCCGCTGTTGGGGTCTACGCTGATCTCATGAATCAGCGTGAATCTCTCATGACGTGGCCGACCCAGACGATGCTTAGTATCGTTGCCTTGTTGCCCAAGCCTGCGGGCGCGGAGCGTCCAGTGTGTAAGTGCCCTACCCTGTATAGGATTTATTGCAGAGCCAGAGGAAGGGACATCGACGACTGGAACGTCCAACGGTCCAATTTCTGGGATACCGCTATTCGAGGATCCTCTGCTCTTCAGGCTGCCCTTCTCAGAGAAGTTGGGCATGAGATTGCGTATTATCTTAATATGAAGTCCGTGGGGTTATATTGGGATTTAAACATTTTTTTGACACGGTTGACCCTCTTCGCCTGGCTGGATTCGCGATGAAAATGGAGTATCCTGTGCACCTGCTGCATCTTGGGATTATGATGCATGAGGCCCCGCGCATCCTGGAGGTCGGCGGCTTCGTCTCGGACCTCATGCCCACTGGGTGCGGGGTCCTGCCAGGCTGGACCTCCCCGGAACCACTCTCACCCGCATCCTAAGCTGAATCTTCAGTCCTAAGCTCGAACCAGACCAACCAGACCAGCCAGACCAGAAGCACAAAAAGACTGCAATGGAACAAACTATATGTTTTTCGGTGGTAGTGGTTGGCGCTGCCTCCCTTGACCTCCCCTAAAGCATCATCGCCAGAATCATAAGCTAAAGCTTCAGCACCAAGCTCAAGCGAGACCAACCAGACCAGCCAGACCAGGAGCAAAGAACACGCAATCCAAAAAATCACGGCGTTTCGGTGGTAGTGGTTGGCGCTGCCCCCCCCTGGACCTCCTCTAAACCACTCTCGCCCGAATATTTGAGCTATACCTTCAGCACTAAGCTCAAGCCAGACCAATCAGAACAGCCTTTCCAAATGAAACAACAACTGCCATGCAACAAACCATGAGATTCGGGTAGTGGTTGGCGCTGCCCCCCTGGACCTCTCCTAAACCACTCTCGCCCGAATTTGGGCCACACCTTCAGCACTAAGCTCAGACCAGACCAACATGATGACCAGCCAGACCAGATGCAAAAACACAGCATCGCACAAACCACTGCTATTCGGTGGTAGTGGTTGGCGCTGCCGCCACTGGACCTCTCCTAAGCCACTCTCACCCGAATCCTAAGCTACAGCTTCAACACTAAGCCCAAACCAGATCAACCAGACCAGCCAGACTGGAAGCAAACAAACACTGAAATCCAAAAACATCTGCTTTGTGGTGGTAGTGGTTGGCGCTGCCTCTCTGGACCTCCGCGAAACCACTCTCGCCCGAAGCTTAAGCTAAATCTTCAGCACTAAGCTCAAACCAGACCAACCAGACCAGCCAGACCAGATGCAAAACAACTGCAATGCAAAACAATAGTTTTTCGGTGGTAGTGGTTGGCGCTGCCTCCCTGGACCTTCGCTTAACCACTCTCGCCCGAATCATAAGCGAAATCATAAGCTCTAAGAATCTTCAGCTCTAAGCTCAAACCAGACCAACCAGACCAGCCAGACCAGATGCAAAGCAACTGGAATGCAGAAACAAACTGCATATAAACAACAAGTGCAATGCAAAAACAACTGCTTTCCGGTGGTAGTGGTTGGCGCTACCTCTCTGGACCTCCCCTAAACCACGCTCGCCCGAACCCCAAGCTAAAACATCAGCACTAAACCCAAACCAGACCAACCAGATCAGCCAGACCAGATCTGAAACTTCAAGCTCAAGCTTAAGACTGAAGCTTCAAGCTTGCGCTTTTGAAGCTTGGCGTCCCGCCATGCGCTACAACGGCTAGGAACTTTATACGGAGGATGAGCCGAAGGGACAAGGATGCAAAGGTAGCTTTGGAGAACATCGCTCATCTTTCCCACGCGGGTTGACTGTATGCGCGGCGTCCCTTTTGGCAAAAGAACAGAAGAACGCATGCACAGAAAATTCTCGGACGTCCCCGCAGATGTCTTGGATCGGCGCGGGGCCCACCTCCCTGGCGCGCGGAGCGCGCCAAGCGCTGCGCCGGAGGCGCCGCCAGGGGGTCGCCGGGCGCCGACCGAAGACATCTGCGCGGGGCTCCGGAAGCTTTGTATTCATACAGCTGTATCCTTCCTCGAGGAGAGGAGGGGCGTCCAGGCCCCGTCCCCGGGGTCGTCATGCACATCCAGGATCCTGCTTCGACGGCCCTGAGGCCTGGCGAGGGCGCCCAGAGACCACAACCGCATATCAGAACCAGGGCTGAACCTACGCAGTGTGCGTGTCGATTTCGTTATGTTTTCGTTTTCCCTCACTTTTGTCTCGAATCCACCTTTACCGCAAAACGAAGTCTCGAAACGAAAACGGCCCACGAAATCGCCAAAAACACTGTTTAGATCCAGCCCTGATCAGAACCTCCCATCGTGATCTCGGTCACGACCCAGGGGGGTGGACGAAAGCGGTGTCGTCATCGCCCGTCCTGGCTTAGCAGAAATTAAGGAGCCGAACTCTACACACCGACGCTTTTTCCGGCCCCGCAATGAAATGCGCACAGGAAAGCGGATCCTGGTGTATACGGATCCTGGCGTATATAGTTTTTGATGATTCCCCCCGGGAAATGGGAAAAACTTATACACCCCACCACTCCGACGTCGTCCCCGACACTCAACAAGTTCTGGGATTGAGAAACAGCCCGCCACTGGAAATGTATATGCTCCAGTTTCCGACAAATTGCAACACCGCAAACAAAAACAATCAGAGCCATAGGCAGACCCCACTGTCCTGCCGCAGTTTTCGAGCCGGGGCTACCGAGGGGCAACTGTTTGAGCTCCCGAGGGGCAACGCTAATTTGCGCCCCCCTCTCGTTTGATCGACGTCCTCCAAGATGGCCCCAAGAGCGCCCCCAAGGCCCCCGAGAGCGCTTCAAGTTGGCCCCAAGAGGCGCCCGGGAGGCCTCAGGAGTCCCCAACAGGCGCCCAGGGCGCCTCCAAGAGGCTCCCAAGAGACCCCCGAGGGGCCCCAAGAAACTCTCGAAAGCACCCACGACGCTCCAGGAGGCGCCCAGGACCGCCAAGAGGCCCCAAGACGCTCCAAGGGGCCTCCACTGGGGGGCCCTTCCTCTACGCGCTGCCCACTTCCCTGATCGAGGCAATTCCTCCGGGCATCGTTTCTGGATGGGCTGGTGGGGCTACTTTTTCTTGTTCGGCGGCTCCAAGGAAAAGCCCAGGGAGCGGTCACAACGTCCGTGCCGCGGCGCATTGTAAATTGGCGATCGCCGGTGGGGCTACGCGAAGCGTCTAGACTTCAATATGGAGTTCCAAACTCAATTATTGGGTCGGACAACACCGGAGCTCAATTCCCAAGTTTGAACTTAAATTTAAGGGCCGCTTTGAAAAGTTCCACTCTCAATAGATGAGTTGGCCAAGCCTGGAATCGGCAATGCAGACAAAAACGTGTGAATTTCGAAGAAGACTCTCACAACAACTGCTCAGAAGGCCGGAGGACTTCCGAACCTTCTGAGAAGGCACGCCCCTACTCACTCTCCCCCCGCTCGCCGCCGACCTGGAGTCAGCTTGACCGTGAACTTTGCGTCCGAAACGTTTAACTTTGTCTCCTGACGCCGTCCAAGAAGTCCTTCAAGCCGACTGGGTTCCAGCAGTGCGATGTCACCCTCGGTGTCCAGGCCGTTCGCGCGCGCAGCTTGAACTTCGGGGGCCGCCGCCACCAACAGGAATAACACCGCGAATGTTGCGGGGCACGCGCTGGCGAAGATTGCGCCGCCCCCCCCCCCCCCCCGACATCACGGCGCCAAATGAAATGTAGAATCAATGGTTTCGAAAACGATTCGCAAGACTGACGGTGACGCCGCCGAACAATTGGCGATGGTGGGGCTCTGTCGCAATCCCCACCTTGAACCAAAATGGTTACGAAACCGCCTTGGATTCTTCCTGGGGCGTGTTGGAACTGTCTTGGGCCATCTTGGGTCGGTATTTTGGGGGCATCTCGGGCCGTTTTGAAGCGCGTTCGGGGGTTTCCCAGGTTACTTTGGAGCGCGGGGGGCGAAGAAAAACGAAATGACTAACTTTGCCAAACAAAAAAGCAATTCATGAATGTGGTCCCCCGGGACATTGTTGCGGGGCCTCTTTGGTCCCCCTATCAGCCCTTCGAACCGTTTGGTAGCAATTTGGGCGGCATTGGAATGATCGTTCGGCGATTCGGAGCAATCTTGGACCGTTTTGGGGGCCGCTCGGGGTCCCGGAGCAATATCTTGGCGCTGTCTAAGGGCGCCCCGTGGTGCCGAGACCCGCCCATGGAGGCTTGGCGTCGGAGATGTGGACTCCTGGAATGCTTGCCCCGTCGCGGCCCCCCCCTGGAACAACGCGCGCTTCGCGCGCGCGCGCGCGTAGGTTCTAGCAAGCCCCAACCCTTTGCCGATGCATGTCTGCGCGAAAGAACGCGCGCGCATAAAATTTGAATGCGAGATGGGGCAACCACCCCGACGGTAGGGCCCCGCATGGGAATGTGTCTAGCTTGCCCTTCGCCATCCCCCCCTCGCCCTGGAACGCTGAAATTCGCGTCAGCGGTCGAATCGTCGGCGGTCCTTAGCCCAGCATTTTGGCTGCGTGCGTGGAGCAAACTACGCGGTGCAATTAATGTCCGTTCGCCTTGAATTGTTCGCTCCACTGCTCGCGCAGTCATCTCACCCGCCCGCCCGCAACTTTGTTTGAAAAAACCCTGCGGCGCGATTGCGATGGGTGCTCGGAGTTGGCTGGTTTATCTGCGCGGCCGCGCTAGCCCGCGCATGCTCGCGCGCGCAGCGGCCAGATAGTTTGGCGCGGCCGGCGCGACCGCGGTGGCGCTGACCACTGGGCGCTTTCCCAAGTGGCACTGCAATGCGAGTCGGTGAACTGGGCAGGTGCCCGCGTCATGGCAACGTCGACAATGGTAGACGCGATGATGATGGCAGCGGAGTTGATGACGCCAGCGACAACGACGACGGCACGGCCAGCGACGGCGCCGATGCTGATCACGCCGGCGACAATGACGGCACCCCCGCGTCGGTGACAAACAAGTTTTGAAGGGAATTCGACATGCGCGCGCGGCTGACGCGCGAGTGGCCCGCATGGAATGATTGGAATTATTGGGCTTGGGGCGTGCTCCCCCAGCGCGCGCAAAAGCGTTCGAATCACTTCGACGTGCGCCGCGAGCGCCCCGCTTTGCCGAATTGACTGGAAGCGTTACGAAATCGATGGGCGGCTTAAGAATTCACAGGAGCGCGAGCGCAGGTTTTCTTTGCAAACTGATGTTTGTTCTGTCATTTTTCGGTGTGCTCGAATTTGCAATCCTTGCGAAACTCAGAATCTTTCAGGGTTCTGGCGCGCGTGCGCGACGACGCGCGCGCGCGCTTCCGGATCTGCGCGGCAGCACGCGCGCAAGCGCTTTCGAACGATTCCAGCGCTCGCGCGCGATGGGCCCATTTGGTAACAAGTTACAGGCATGTTGATAAATCTGTGGCTATCTGAAGAAAGCGCAAGATCCCGAGCGCAGTTGCATTGAAAATATAGTAATGCATAGCCGCGTCTTGGTTCTGGACAATCGATTTTGACATCGCTACGAAACCTGCAGAAAATGTCTGAAGGATTTCGGCATGCGCGCGCGACGACGCGCGCGTGCGCACGTCGCATCGCTGTTTGGAAAAAACTGTTTGGAACCGGTTGAGTTGTGATAGACGAGTGCGCGCGAATACTATTTTCTGGGCATGAGCGGGGGGAGCGTTTCCAGCCTGTCGGGGACAATATGAACTCGTAGTTCGGGTGGACGACGGGGCAATTTGATAAATAAATTACAATACAAAGATGGGGGCGGTTCAACCGGGAAAGGAGGTGGATCCTGATACTTTGAGAAAGGAAGATCTATGTGGCGTAGGCTTTGCGGCGTAATGAGCGTAGTGCGATCCACCCAGCCGAAGTTGAAATTGTCGATCCACTGCTGGCGCAGTCATCCTAGCCCGAAGCCCGCAACGAGGATTGCAAAACCCATGCTGCGGCGATTGCGGTGTCTGCTCGGCGCTGGCTGGCGCATCGCCGCGGCCGCGCAAGCCCGCGCATGCCCGCGCGCAAAGCGCAAAACTGCCAACTGGTACGGCACGGCCGACGCGGCCGCGGTGGCGTGCACCGCCAGGCACTTCCCAGGGGGCACTTTTGTGCAATTCGGCGATTTGGGGGAGCGCGGTATCGCGGCAAATTCGACGACTGTAGACGCGACTATGATGGCTGAGATGCTGGCGACGACGGTTGCGACGACGACGGCAGGGCCAGCGGCGGTGCCGATGCCGATCACGACGGCGACGATGCGACTATGGCGGCGTCGCCGCGTATGCTATGAAAATGTCGGAGGAGATTCCACATGCGCGCGCGGCTGGCAATCGAGGGGCCCGCGTGGTATCATGCGACGCGGATCGCGCCCCCCCCCTCCACGCGCGCAAGAGCACTCGGATGATGTCGACATGCGCGAGAGGCGCGTTTGGACAAATATAAAAGACATGTTGAAAACCAACGGTTGTCTTTAGATTTCGCAAGAGCGAGAAAACACGCTTGTTTGGAGACTGATGTTGCGAAACCACGCATTTCATATGTTCCCGGGAAATCGGTTTTGAATCAGCGATTTTGGCACGCGCGCGCGCGACGACGCGCGCGACAGAACTTCGGCCCGTTGTTCGCACTTGTTTCTTGCGACACCACGCGCGCCAGTGCGCTTCAATGATTTGGACCTGCGCGCGCGAGAGGCCCGTTTGGTAGCATCCCATGTAAATATATAAGAAAACAACGCACGATCACCCTAAACTTTCGCAACGCGCGAGCGCACGCTTCTTGCTATGAGACTAGCGTTGCAGAGCCATTTGCCTTTACATGTCTTCCGGACACTCGATGTTGCAATCTTTGCGCCTTCTAAGAATTATTGAAGTTTTTCCGACATGCGCGCGCGACGACGCATGGGAATGGTTGATATTTGATAAACGTGCGTGCGCACATAATGCTTGTTGAGAAGATGAGACGGGGGGCATACCGGCCTGCCTGAGATGGTGAGAACTCATCGCTAAGATGGACGGCGGGGCGGAATTGACTGCAGAATGCGATGCGAAAAAAAGGGGGACCGTTCAAATTTTTGGAGGGGAGATCCTGTTGCAGTTTTTGACGGGGGAGCGTATGCGGCGCAGCATTGTCAGCTAAGTGCCTGGCGATGCAATCTACAAGGGCTCCCAACTTCGCGCTTCGCGCTGCGCGAAGCGCGAAGCGCGAATAACTTCGCGCTCTCGCGCCGCCCCCCAAAAGGGAGAAAAGGAGGACGAGGAGGAGGGGGAGAAGAAACGAGGACCGCGAAGCGCGAAGCGCGAATAACTTCGCGCCCTCGTGGGAGCCCTTGAATCTACGCGGTGCGGCCATGTGGCGGCGGCGACGGGCGGCGACGAGGCGGCGACGGGCGGCGACGAGCGGCAACGGGGCGGCGACGGGTCGAGATCAATAAAGGGAAATTAGGACACACGAATAAATACACACAAATAAAAATAGTCCCCATATTTTCCCATATTTTCTGGGTTTGTGTCTTCCCCTCCAATTCCCATATTTTCCCATATTTTCCTGGGAATCGAGGATTAATTGTGTCTGTGTGTTTTTTTCCCTCCTGAATCAAACTTGCTGGGGCGGCGGTGCAGCCCACTTGCGGCGGCGACGGGCGGCAACGAGGCGGCGACGGGGCGAATCAAGCCGGTCGAAGTGGCAGGTCAGCGCAGTTTCTGCATGGCCAACTCCGAACCCCTCTAAATGCAAGAACTGTCTGGGGAAACTGATCCAGAATGGCTTGGGAATGCTCGGCAACACCAAGGGACCGTTCTGGGGCTCTGTTGGGGGCCTCTGGCCCCTTGCGCCGTCTAGGGGACTTCACGGACCAGCCCAAAAGGCCAACAAGGTTGGAAAACTGTGCGTGCTTCGGTGTTTTCATATGCTCTGCTTGCTTCGTCTTCAGAACACCGAAAACGGCCCAATATGCCCCCAACTTTCGTCCAAGAGAGGCTCCGAACTCTTGAACAGAAGCCAGGAGACCCCAAAACGGGCCCAAGAGGGGGAACTCGACTTGCCATGTGGGACCCTCCACCCCAAGATTGCCCACGATCCTGTCAGCAAAACCACACAACACCTCCAAGATGTCCAGAAGTCACAAAGAAGTTCCCTGGAAGGCAGCGAAAAAAACCTAAAGGGCCCAACATCGGCGGCGAGCTGGGGGGAAGTTGGAACGGGCGGGCCTTCTCAGAAGGCTCGGAAGTACTGGGGCCTTCTGAGAAGTCTTCTAAGCCCCCCCAAAACAAAGAAAACTTCTCAGACGACCGGAGTACTCCTGAAAAATCCCGCCACCTTCTGAGAAGGCCTTTTCCTTCTCATCTCTCCCCCTCGCTCACCGCCGACAAAAAACCTCCGAAAGGGCCCGAAGATGACTCTCGTCAGTGATACAGGCGCGGTGGTGGTGGCATTGGCCATGGGGTCGCCAGAGCCAGCCGCCGCCCCCGTGCAGCCAATTAGGGAGCTGCGCCGGGGCGGCATGGCGTGCCGAAGGCTGCTAAGTTACGGTCAGCCCGTATCATAAGGATGCGCAGCAAGGGCTCGAGGGCCTTGTAGGGCCATGTTCACGTGGTTCGACCGAGGTTGGCCAACGACGGCTTTTAAGCTGCTCGGAGCGAAAAGTTCTTATGCCCCCAACGCCTCACTTTGCCTTGGGCCAAAAGAGCTAACATAGCTGC